ATATCTATATAAAATACTATAAGACCGAGCTGCCACTGACCGCGATGATTGTTAAATCCTGATCGATTTCGAGTACCGTATAATCCGTCGATTGATCCTCACGTACTTGTATGATATGACTCCGAGGATCAACGAGGATTTAAAAATTTATTCTTGGTGGGGGTGCGCTGAGGGGTAAATCAAAAATATCATTATTTTTCAACAACAGTACAAAAAACCTATACCTATATATACGATTCGAAATTTGTACGCGCGGCCCCCGCTGCGGTTTCGGCGACATAAGGCCCGTGTGTACAATAACACACAAGCAAACGCGGAACGGGAAAAAAGATAAATAAAAAAGAACCGCCATTGTCGTGAAGTATAATATACATATATATAGTATGTAATAAAATCGTCTTTTGTCGCCGCCGATGTGGTCCCGAGCCGCCCGGGAACCATTATACGTCGTTTGTGTTATTATTACAGTCATTTATTTATCGCGATATTATATCATGTCATTATGTACCGTCGGCGATGTGCGTACATGTGTTAAACACGGCGTTGTGTGACACCGCCGCCGCCGACGCCCACCCCTGCCCGGCCGAAGCGAGGGGGTGTGGTGAGAAGCTGCGACGGAGATAATGTCAAAAAAAAAACACGAGAGACTATTACGCGATTAGGGTGGTTTTGTACACACACACACACACACACACGCACACACGCACACACACATACACGTATTATTTATAAACATTTATTGTGTGCGTTTGTGCTAGAGTGTGAATATACGTTTGGGGATTTGTCGCATGTGTATAACGGCAGTCGGAGAGCATGAACCACCCCCGTCGTTTTTATGCACACATAAACATATATCGCGTACATAATACAAAACCACAATCCGACAGCACATAGATATTAAATAAACGATGGTATACGCGTATTATTAGGCATTATTGTATCGTGTAAAATCAAACGTTATTGTCCTGCAATAACCTCGTATGCATTTTTTTATTTATTTTTTTTTTTGTGTCTGTCTAATGAGAAACAACTACGTCAGCTATAAATTTGATTCATTTATATCTACAGAACGTATAAATAAAATACACATTTCTTTTAGATATTTTTTTCTCATGTTTATTTTTTTTTACTTTTAAGAAGATATTATTGTTCAAAGTTATATTTTTTTCACAAAATGTTTTCTTATTCAACGGAATCTGAAATATTTAATAGTTATTCCATCGTTTATTTTTACATCATTTATGATGTTTATGTACGTACCTACAAATCTTACGATTTGGAATTTTTAACCTATCTGTAATATGGTTATAGACGCAGGTATAAGGTAATAGGTAGTCAGATAGGTATAAAATACCGCTAAAATACTGCTATAGAATAACAAATTCGTAGAAGAAAACAAAATTAGTATAGATGCCTATACCGCCTATACGTTTGAGCAATGTTTTTCACTCTTCCTAAATAATTTCTAGTGCTTTTTGCACGATTGCTTTATACAAAATGCTGTTTAATAATTGTATCGTGATACAAAAATTAAGATGGCTATTGTACAAATAAAATCATACAGCCCGAAGCAGGGCTCATTCATAAAATTATCATATTTTTGTTTTACAGAAAATAAGGGCATGCGTTAGCTGTTCTTCATCATTATATAGTTCGTTGGTGGTCGATTATAATCTCGACCTCGAATGACTTTAAAAATTAATTATACCAAATAGAGTTTGTGCACAGTATACAAAGTTGATGATTAATTGTGTAGTCGTGTCTCTTAATAAATATTGTGCCACGATTGTTGAAAAAGAATATAAACGTATCATCGAGCATGTACATATATAAGCCCATAAATTTATTGACAACACATTAAAGACCAATCGATAACGTCGAAAAACATTTTGGTAGGTTGCACAGCCGTCGTTTTTATTACAAAAATGTTGTGCTGTCGCGTCATCACGCGGTGATTACGATGTAGGCGAATCGAGTACAATACCTTAGAACATCAGTAGGTATTTATTTTTTTGTCAGCAGCTATTGGTTAAGGGGCCACGCGATGCAATCTACATACATGGATCTGTATTGAAACATTATAATTTATAAATATTGTGCACAGCGGTCACCACAACTACGGTATAAGTGAAATAAGTTGATTAGTAAATTCTTTGTTATTAATGATTTAGTGAAATACCCACACTCCAAAATGTTTGTAATTATTGACCACCACAATATAATAATTAGTTGTCCTACTCGAATACCCACGTTAGTAGGAGTAATTGTACATAGATACTTATTTCTTTCTGGCGACAAATCAAACCGTTTCAAAAACAATTTGTCACGAAAAAATAATTCCGTGACGGGGCGCGTTTACAATTCTCACTATACGTCGCATGAGATGACGAGTCACGCGACACCACAATTAAATATTATTTATCAATTAGCACATCCGTGGAGTATTATTGCGTATAAATAATATTATACATTAAATAGGTACATAAACATTGTGAATATTGTGCAGGGCCAAACGCGCGTATATCATTGTAATCTGCACGTTATTCGAAATGTACCCGAACCACACACATTAGGCAAATACCGTATGTATCTACCATATCTATAAGTACCTGGTATATGCCGATAACCACTAACCGATCTACGGTGTTGGCGTTGATGTACCTGCAGTTAAACCAAAAATATTACAATATGAAAATGTTTTATGATAGTCGAAGCCAACTGAAATTATGCTCATAATGTACGTCAATTATAAAATATGTAGATGTGCATAATATAATGTGGTGACGATTTAATGTTTTAGATGAGTGCGAATAATAAAATCAGTTATTCGATTGGCACGCTTCCCGTTTACTTAATAATGTGGTAGACTTGCCAGTCGATTTTGATCTAGTTGACTAATACTTGTGAGTTGTGACGTCGCCCGATGTTAATCACTAAAAATAATACAATATTATACGACCACTTTTTAAATTATTTTTATCCGCATACAACCTAACTTAACTATGAAAAAGTTCCCATTGAGATGTAGGTATAGAAAAAAGAATCGTACTGTATGCTCGGGCTTCGGGAATGTGCCAAAATCAACGACAAGCCATACCGACACGTAGACGCCCAAAAAGCGGCGTACATTATATGGGTCACGAAACGCCAGAGATTTCACGATGATAGGTTAGGGCCCACACCGAAATCGAATTTTTCTCCCCGAAAATTACTCGAGTTTACCAACATTGGTATATAATGTTTTGATAACTATTAGATGTAATATTGCATAATTACGTTAAGGTGATAATACCTATAAAGTAAATAAAAATAAGAGTTCTAATATACCTATATATTCTTGCGATGAATTTGGCGGCCAGCAAAATATATCGGACAGTCGCCAGGAAAAACAATGACGTTTGACAATAGTCGAGAAACAAACAAAAAACTCGTTTAGTATTATGATTTCAACACATCAATCACTGTTTTTAGCCTATACAGAGAACGCATAGGACACAGTTTCAAAATAATATCTCGAGTTGTCACGTGGAATGTCATAGCGCCGTCGCCGGGTCGCGATTTTTTAAATACGTCCGATAGACATGCGTATAAAATAGGTATGTTTGCTGCTATTTTACCTTTATATTGTAGGCATATGACTTTTACTTTTCACCTACCATTGCGCAACACCGCACGTTTCGCGCGTGCGTACAAACCGTTCAACGGCCGATTTATAATAATGTATAACAATATTATAATAGGCGAACAATCGGACCAAAGACAATGGAACGGTGTGCACACACGCACACACACGCACACACACATTAGCTGTATAGGTCGTATACACGATAAAGTAGTCGTCAATCATTCGACGACGACAAGTGCAACGAATATATATCATTACGAAAATCGGCTCAAGACACGAATGCGAAATCACACAATATACTGCAGTACATTAATGCATATAATTATATCATTATATGCGCGTGTGTGCCCAATATAACACACCTACGCGCATTACACATTAGGTTATAGACACATCTATGCCTTATGTGCGTATAATATAATTTTTTTCCTACCTGTGCACGTTATCGTTATACCTAGGTACATAATCATTAATCGTATTCAACGTGTGCGACAATAATATAATATAATATGATATCGTACGGCCGTATCGGCGCGTATAATATTATGTATATATACGACGGCGGCGAATAGAGACGATTTTTTTGTTGTTGATTTTTTCCGTATTTATCTACATAAATTATACGTTACAAACGCGTATATATTACACGTAGGTAGGTACGGACGGAATCGAAAATCTCGCGGATTATTTTTTTTTTCCTTGCCATTGCACTCGTACGCGACGAATGACTTAATTTCTCGTATGTTAATTTATATATATTATTTAACGCTAATGACTAAATATATATATTATATGCGCGCGCGCGCGTGTGTGTGTGCGTGTGTGTGTGCATACATAATATAATGTAAACATTTACGATTACTGTACGACGTTTAGCGACGTTTGCACGTATATAAATATATATATATTATACCTACGCGACAACGCTTTTATAATATACAATATTATGGCGTAATATAATAGTAATCATCATATTATGATTTGCTGTTTATTCGCTCGATTAAATCGCGTTGAAAACGATTTCGCGCGTGCATAAATAACACATTATAATATACATAAAATATAATTTACATAATTGCGAGCGACGGCGGCAATCTGGCTGCCAGAAATTATAGGCAAACACAGACGGAGAATATTAATAAAAAATCGGAACAGCACATCGTCGTCACCAATAGGTACAACTCACATCATCTCAGCACCTCAGGTCTAGGCACTGTTACGTGATATATATATAGCCGTAAAGGACCTAACCAGAACACTAATTTTGGAAAAACCCCGCATGGACGATATCGTACCCTCGCGCCTGATGTGCAACGGAGCGAAAAACTAATACGATAATGTTATATAATAATGAAAAGTCCGTTTTCGCACTCACCCGAAGACGGTCTGTCCGAGTACCGCGTGCAGTACACCCAGGCCGGCCACATCTCCTTGTCGTTGGACTGCTGGTCGCCGCTTCCGGTCGCATCCGATCCCGCCGATTCCTGTTCGTTGCCCGAGTCGTCTGGCTTGTGGTGGTGTTGGTTGTTCCGGCCACCGTTTGCCGACTTGCTGTTGTCGCTGTCATAGCAGTTGTTATTGTTGTTGTTAATGACGGGCGAACATGCCGGCAACGGTTGCTGGACCGGCTTTCGCTTGTTGGCCTTGTCCGCCGTGACAGCGGACGCAGGCCTTTTGGGACCGACAGCCGCTGCTTTGGGACGGGTCGGAGCGGGCCGGTGCAGCGACGGCGTGGACTGCTGCGTGTGTGGCTTGTTCTGCAGCAGAGTGCTAAAGTGCAGTTTGGCTGAGTTTGGCGGGGGCGGTGACGCAGACAACGGCCTGCCGTGGCGGTTGTGCTGTTGCAAAGGCTGGTGGTGATGGTGATGTAGGTGATGGTGGTGTTGCTGCTGCTGCTGCTGCTGCTGCTGCTGTAGGTGGTGATGGAGTTTACTGCCGAATTCCGGTCGAAGAATGTTGTCGACGGAAAACGCCAATCGGAACGGGCTAGGCGAGCGAGGTGAAGGCGAACGGTAGCTGCTGCAGTTCTTTGTAGTTCCGGCGCCGGCGGCCGTCGGGGGACCGCCACCGCAGCCGTAAGACGACGATACGTCCGACGAACCAGAAGTGCTGGCCGGCCGGGAAACGTAACCGGAGGCCATCATCGGCGGCTGCTGCAAAGACGGTTGGGGCGGCGGCGGCGGTGGTGGTGGCTGTAGGGGTTGGTGAGCTGCCGACTGCACCACTTGCGGTGACGGTACCACCGGATTATGGTGGTGGTGGAGGTTGGCCACCGTACCGTTCAGCTGCAGTTGCCTCGCGAATTCGGCGTGCTGTGGCTGCAAGTGAAGCGCGACTGGTGGTCGGTCGTCGCTCGTTTCTGGCGATCCACTGTCGTTCGGGTGGTGGAGGTTGTGGTGTTGCATTTCCCGGAAATATTCAGCCGCGGCTGGAACGATCGGAAGGAAGTTGAACCGGTACATCCAAGAGTTGAACGGAAACACGGGCGGCACGTGACCGCCACCGCCGGCAGCAGCAGCGGCTGCCGCAGCCATAGCCATCGTGTACTCGACCGCGGCTGCGGCCGCTGCGGTGGACGGTGGCTGTAAAGTGCCATGATCGCCGTTGTGGGTGGTGTGTTGTTGCTGCTGTTGCTGGACCCATCGTGGCACGTCGGCGGTCACTTGCTGGGCCTTCTGAACGTGTGATGATGGTTTTTTCCTCGCGGGTTGCTGCAGTGGCGGCGGCGAAGCGTGACGATTATAAAGTGGGTCGACCGCCACGGCAGTCTTGTTTTGAAGCGGCGAACATATGCTCAGAGGCTTGCTGCAGGCCAACAGTGACGATTCCTCGGCCACGGCCTTCGGCGGGGCCCGATCGTCGTCACCGTCCGCGGCTGCACCGTCACGCACCGGCCGGAACGCAGAGATAGTGACGTCCGGCTGCGGCTGCTGCGGCGACGTCGTCGACGACGATGACGAAGACGACGACACCACTTCTTTGGTCTGATCGCTGCAGTCGTCCAGCCCGGGCCGCCGGTTGTTATCTGTGGGGCCGGGGCTCGAAGCGTTGTTCGGGCTGCAACGTTCCGTCTCCAGGGCCATGACCTGCAGGCCCGGATCCGTCGTGAAACGATAAAAGTCTACAATCGCGGCCTTACGTATATAAATAGATCAAACCTACACACAGCAATACGACGTCGTCGGCAATGTGTACGATATTAGTAATAATAATTATAATACAAACGTTGCATAAATAGCGTCTGTGTGGCGCGTGTGCGCGGCGTCGGTTTCGCGGTCGGCCGCGCGTATTACCCGAAAAACGGCGGCGACGGAGGCGGCGTGCGACTCGTCTCCGCGGTTCGATCTGTTGTAATCGTCGTCGTCGGAACGAGTCTATCGGCGCCACCGTGCCGTCCGGTCGCGCGCCTCCGCGGCCGCCGCGAAGGCTCCGCCCATCCACCGTGCCATGGTAACGCGGGGCTGGCGGGCCAACGGGCGCGACTGCCGGGCCACGCCCACCGGACCCGCCGCCCAGCGCTATTGGCCGGCCGATTGAGCTGTCCGTTCACCCCGCCACCGCCTCAGTGCGCGCAGGACGACACCACTTCTCACTTCTCCGCGCGTACATCTCTCTCTCGCGCGAGCGCTCACTATATTGTTGTTGTTTTTGTTATTATTATTATTATTATTATTATTATTATTATTATTATTATTATTCTTTTCATGCTCTTCTCTGCTGCTCCTTCACCTCAACACCTCTCGTTCAACGCCGCCGCCACTGCACAGCCGTCTCCTTTTCACAAATACGTATACGTATTGTGTGGATAGATACGTGTGTGGGTAGTAGTAGTATTATATATAAGGGATCCGCAACGTCACGAATGTATATAGAAGACAAAACGAGAAATGTAAATTAATGACTGCGAGTGTGCAGTAAACATATACATACCTTGCTCGCACACACGCACATTCATATACGTATAGGTATACTGACTGCACTCGGAGAAATCGATCCGTCGTCGACAAACTCTAAATAAACATATTATTATTATTGTTATTACTTTTGTATATTTACTGCAGTGCGTGCGATATAGAGGGACCTGGGCATCGGTAAATAAATTAACCAGATTTCCGGAGAGAACGCGAGAGACCCAATCGAACGACGCGACCGACACACGCTGGACTACGCAGGTTTAATGTAATATACAACCACAATATTATAATACATCATATACGGGTAGTTAATACGCACGGGCGCACAATAATAATGATAAAAACTCCGAGATGCGATCGCATGAACCTATAACTATGAAGGCATTTATATATATCATGATATATATTATGTACATAAGTATTAATATATATACATTATAAATATAATTTAAGCACCCGTCACAATGTAATATATATTAATATTATAATATACGACTTGCGGACAGGCATCGTTTACAATATCTATATAGGTACCTACCTATATAATACTCGTTATAACTTTAGCTATAAATTATGAATTACCTATATTTGATAATACAATATATATTTTCGTATAAAATGCTGATAATTGATAAAACTATTTACCACGATGTGGATTTATTAAACGCGGGTGATGTATATAATAACCTGCTACCTTAAAGATTTTTACGAAGGTTGTCATTATAATCATTAAAATAGACATAAAACAAAAGTATCAATATACTTAGGTACAAAATTGATGAACGATTTGAATTTTCTATTTTATATATAATAATCTTATAAATCAAATTGTACGTTTATTACATTTTTTTTAGCGAACATCGATTTCAGATGAGCTTCTACCGGTGACAAAATCTGACTTAGAACCTTTAAGAAGTATATTGAATACCACTTACAATAAGAGTAAAAAATAATAGAACATGTATATATTAACAGCCAAAACTATAGGTTTATTAGCAGCATCAAACACATATTAAGATTACTTCGTACCCGCATGTGTTGTGGACTTTTCTCCGTCTAACAAACATTATACGACGCATAACAAATTTTCGATCACTGCTATGTAGTTTCAATAGTGTGTTGTTAGTTTTGATATTGAAGTGAAACAACCGATATTGGAACTTTTAGGTAAGAATATTATAGTTGTTTTCTCGTTGATTTTGTGTTTTTTACGCATACCCACAACAATATAATTAAAGTATAAGGAGCAAATTAGAGTATGACAAGTAGGTACTACGACGCCTGCAGCCGGCTCGCTAAGCTTGAGGCGGTCCTACCGGCTCCGATTCTGACCTCATAAAAAATGTATGAGTATTACGATATTTCTTTAACGTCTGCGGGAGAGGACTATGACACTCAAATTTGCTGCATGCATATTTTTCACTTTAGTCGTAGGGGTGTTAGAAATCCCAGTGGATCAAATACTCGATTTTGCTCGGATAGGAGGGTTCTTTTAGTAGGTACATCTTTGATCTTGCTGAGTCATAGCCATGGCTATGTTGAAATGGATTCGAATTCATCTTGATATGATCTCCACTGCAAAACCAAAAAACTTCACGGTACCATCCCTTATTTGCAAGGTGTATGTAGTGGACCAGCCTCTCTCTTCCCTACAAACGAGTTGTAGCACTTCATTAGACTCTGAACACCATTTACGTATGGGCTCGTTTTGACTCCAACAGCTCAATATAGCTACCAAAACGTTTAAAAGGTTATGTTTTTCATAACAATTCAAATATATATATGATGTATTAATTTAAATAAGTCAATACATTTTTAGTAGAACTAATAAATTAAATATTATGACCACAATTTATTCTTTGTTGAAATTTCAGATTGACTGGATTATATTTTATATTAGAAAAAAACTTAAAATAAAAAATGAATTAAATTCACAACTAAAATTGTATTTATTGTAGAAAATATTCTTCTACAAATTTTACAATTACCTATCAGATTAAAAATAATAATAAAAAAAGATTAATTAAGATTAATAATTTATGTTAGATACTTACCTCGGTGTTTTTTAGCAATTTGGTATTTTTTAGCAAACAATTAGCAATATGTAGTTACACAAACACAATATACATTTACTAGGTTCAATTAAACAATTAAAACAATAAATTTAATATCAATTATTCCCCTAAAGCACATTTTTGGTGCTTAAAAAATAGTAGACATGAGAGCAGTAACGGCCATTGGGTGAAATGTAAATAACAATCGATAACTACTATATTTTTTATAATACTATAATATTGTTATTGACATAAACTCGATCGTTATTTTTAAAATATATTTGTACAACGTATACATCAGTTATTAATTTTATCACACAGATTTTCATTTCTATAAATAAGTTCTAATTATCAATGAATAAGAAATTACGAATATTCACAAAAATAATTTATCAATGTAAAGAACTATGGTTTATTGCACTGATTAACCTAATCATCATATTAATAAAAATTGATGTTAAATCTTTAATATAATAACTTTTTAATACATGTCATTATAATTTTAAAAAAACTGTTACTATATATGTCTATATATAAAAAAAATAATTGTTGTATAATAAATATTTACGTTGATGTAACAATTTAACTTGCCAAGATTAAAAAAAACTGTTCGTTTATTGTTTCAATAAAACAGTGCACATTTCAGCTTTATTATATTCCAAGTATAAATCATAATATACAATATCGTTGATGATTTGGCAATACCTCGTATCTGACAATTTTTCGATTTTGACATTTTGGTATCATTCAATTCAGAATTTCAAGGAGAATAAAAACTATTTGAGGTTAAAATATAATATGGTTACTGATATTCTGGGAAAATACATTAGAGTAATAACTTGTATCAGAATATGATTTACAATTACTCGTATCTACACACGGTATAGAGTAAACTGGATAAAATATTAAAATGGTGCATTGCATTATAGTATATTAAATTATGATTATTTGGCTTTAATAATAGTATGTTGTTTATTGATTTTTTCATTCATTAAATTTCTATTATTTTATTGTGATTTTGTTATTTGATTATTATACCCAATATCGTAATAGTAGATGGTAAGTACAAATTGTCTTGATTTAAC